CCCCAAGGCAAAAATAAAATATTTAAAACTTGGGTCTTTTGAGACTTAAGTTGGCTCAAAAGGTATAACGTCAGTATTTTATTATTTTAGAATTTCACAACATATTTTCAGGAAGACTGTTAAGATTTTATGACCTTGCCCAAATAGAAGGTCTCAAATAACCTGGCCATTTTAGAGATAAGGAGAATTTACAAGATCTTTTGTACTGTAATCATAATAAATAATACTATTTGTTATTATTGTTATTGTTATTCTTTTTAAAAGAAAATATACTCAGTTAAACATTTGACAGGTTTTAAACCTAATGGCAAGGGGCAGCTAGGTGGCGTAGTGGATAGAACATTAGCCCTGGAGTCAGGAAGACCTGAGTTCAAATCTGGCCTCATACACGATACTCACTAGCTGTGTGACCCTGGGCAAGTCACTTAACCCTGATTGCCTCGCAAAAAAAAAAAAAAAGAGACCAAACCTAATGACAACAGCCTCCAATAACTTTATAATTTCACCACATTCAGATCAAAAGAGGAATTCATTTTCTAATGATAAAATTGCATCATCCTCTTAACAGCATTTCTTATACAATGGTTTCCCAAAATTCACAGTACAAGAAAATCTAGAAACTTGATAATAACATAAATAATATTATGGATTAAAACAGCAAATAAAACTTATTGCCAGTCAAATGACATCAATTCAACTGAATGCATCCCTGAATTATCTTACATAGAAAATTTGTTTATTCATCTTATCAGTTTTGGCATTCTATAGTAAATGCATTAAAGATCAGTGTAGAGCAATTTTGATCCAATTATACTTTTAACAAAACTTATTTTTGCATTTTCTAAACATAGTGTCTTAGTGATGAAAATGAAGCATATTTTCCCTTAAGGCCTGATCTTCTTGTAGAGGGTCAAACATCACAGTTGTCCTATATGAAAACACATTTCACTTTAAATGAGACTAGGACAAATTCAGTCACATCTGGATTTATATTTACAGCTGTTATCGTACAGAATCTCAGTTTTCCCAATGGCCATTTACTGCCAGCGGTTCACATTTTAGGGCCTACTGCTTTCAACTAGGTGTTGCCAAAGATTTAATGTGACGTCTTGTATTCTCATCTCTTACTTCTAGGGTCCATGAGGATCTTGTAAAACATGTGAATTGCAAACATAACCTCTCTTATGTAGTAACTTAATTATGAATGTATATTGAAATTCACATTTGTAAAGTTGAACGTAAAGGTAAAGAAATTACATTTAGTCACAAATTTAGTCTAATTAGTTTACGATACCATAGATTTCTGCACACTAGGGAAAAAACTTTCTTTGCTATTGTGTGTTTTTTGTCTGCCTTCCCAATTTAGTTGGTGTTAGAAATGCAGAGAGAGAGAGAGATCATATCTTTTTGAAAGCTTTGAAAATTCAGCAGAGAAGTTTTTACTCTTTTTACTTTTTTTTCTTTGGCTGATCAGGCTGTAGGAAAAAGTCATTAGGATTTACCAACGCACAAACTATAGACAATGCTAACAACATACGGGACATTTTACAAATAAAACACTTCTCACTTTAAGCTCTCATTGCTCCTTTGCTATTTTTTTGTCCTGCTTAATAAAATAGGGAACTTCCATAAACTAGAATAACTTGTCAGGACTGAAACTCCCATCATCACATGGCTATTGCTGACTAGAATATTCATATGTGTATCTGTTTCATGCATGACATAAAAAATAAAGTCCTTAATGTTTAGACCTTTTGATAGTTTCTTGGGTTGGAAATAAGTGCTAATTATGCTTGCTAATGGGGTGGCTGAGAAGGGGATATTTTATGCCTTTCCCATTCTTATGAGAGTGTCAGACTTTGAAGAGACTTTTACAAGACCTTCTGCTCCTGCCCTCTCTGAGCCAGGTACTTGGCTCGGGTCTGTTCCCTAGAGATCCCTTTTATGGCAGAGGGTGTACTGCCGGACAATGGAGATGGCAACAGAATGACACATCCCTAACATAGGACAGTGGAGAACAGTTCAAGTCCGAGGTATAAAGGAGTTCTTTTGTACAGGGGCACGTGAACTCAGGGAGGAGCGTACAGCCCTGGTCTGGAGCTTATGTACCGAGGTTTGAATACTAAGTTGTCCTTGTAGTCTAAGGAGATCCTAGGTGGGAGGTATAGAATTGACACAGAGCAACTTCTGAGCTCTTTAACTCAGACCTCTCTGCAACTCAGACTGGGACTTTACATCTTCATCAAGGATCATCAGGTTAACACAAGAACAACAACAACAAAAACAACAACAACAACAAACACACACACGCACGCACACACGCATGCACACCCATAAACTGGTTCCCCGATGCTGAACTCTCTCCTTCCTTCCTGAGTTTCTGTAATCTTCTCTCTCTTCCTCAAGCAACCTGTATTATATCTGAGGCTGGTTCGTTCACTCAAAAATTCCTTCCAACACTTCAGCCATTAAACCCTTGTTGGGTCAGAGGTGGAACTGAAAGTAAATTTGTAGACAAAAACCAGCCTCATTTGGCCTTAGGAAATTTTCCTTTAAGTTCATCTTCATCTCCTGGGGCAGAGTTGGGTGTGTTGACCTCACAAATCCCACTTCTGACACCAAAAACTGTAGTGGAATTTTCTTTTTGGAACTCGAGGGTCATCCCTCACCACTCTGGGTTCTTGAGGTCTGAGTCAGATAATACTGCAGTAAGGAGTAGAGTGAAATTTTCAGCCATTTATTCTGGCTGGCCAAGGCAGATAGCAAAGTTGGATGACATCTCCCCTGGGCCTGGCACAGAAATTCCTTACTGTAACTTTTGTATGAAACAAAGAGCACAAAAATAACTATTCTTAAAACACAGGTGGCTATATAAAAAGAAAAATATACTTGTTGGAGAAAAACGTATATTCTTAGTTATGGGAAATAAAGGAGTGTATTCTCTGAGTACAGCTAAATCAAAGAAATCTGCCAATCAGGCCAGGCAGGGAGAAGAATGTTCCCAGGACTCTGGAATCCTCCACTTGTAGCAGCTGAGGCTTTTGGTACTGATAAGCGAGAATGAGACACTGAAGGACACATCTACAGCAGCCGTTGTCCTTCAGCTCACTTACAGTAAAATAAGTGACCAAATAAAGTCAGCGCATTTTGAAAGAGGACTAGAAACAATGGAGGTGGGGTGGGGTGTCTGTGTTATACAGACATGTCAAGGAAATTCATGGTGAGATAGCAGGGGTTTCTGTTAAGGGGTATTAAGCCAAGGGCATGAAAACCTGCTGAAGTCAGTCTCTGGATTCCTGGGGCAGGGGAAAGGGGGTAGTTTTGTTTGTCCACACCTCTCACCTCTGATTTTTCTTGAAGGCTGGGAGAATTATCTTGTATGAAACTTTAGAGTGGTACTGGATCAGTAATTTATTGGATGTTTTCCTTAGTAAAGGCAATATAAAAAGCAGAGAGGCCTAAAGGTGGCGATTTTGAATGTAATAAGGCAGTGCTGACCTTAGAGTCGTCACATATACAGTACACCAAGCCTAGCATGGTGGCTTCTGACTCGCAGGAGCGTTTCTGACATGTGCTCTAAAACAGATTATTAAGATCATAGTCTTCAGCCAACAGAGACCTCCAGTATATGCACCTCTTGTGCCTTTAATATACCTCATTTCTATATTAAGATGTCATGTTACATTTAACTTCACATGGTAGTAGTCATGTGGTTCTTTAGGTTGATGGTAATTACAAATAAGAGCTCTAGAGTCATACCACAGGACTATGCGGAACGTTGTCCCAGGGTTTATAGGAAATGACTGGGGCGCAGGCTTAGTTTTAGAATTTTTTAGAAATCATCAATTAGCAAATTACTTAAGGTTCAGGCTGCCTGGGCATCATGATTGTCACAGTCTTTGTAGTGCATGTGTGTGTGTATGTGTTTGTGTGTGTGCGTTGTCTCTGAGAAGAAGTGAGCATCACCATCAGCCTTATCTGAGCCTTTGATGCCTGAGCTTCCCTTGTAGTCCAAGGACCACTTTTGTTTGTGCTCTGTCCCTCTCCAGCTTATTTTTATCTCTGTATACATAGTCCACCTTCCCTCCCCTCGGAGAATGTTACAGCATCATAGACCTGCAGCTTGAGCCAACATCAGAAGTCATTCAGTCTGATCTTGTTGTTTTACAGTTGAGGAAATTGAAATGTAGGGAAGTACAGGTAGTGGCAGAGGTCGGATCTGAACCTAGGTCTTCTGACCCTGGAGTTGGCTTTCTTTCTACTGTACCACCTTGGGGCACATGGTTTGCACAACTGATACTAGGCCCCCAGCTTGGCCCCTGTATAAACCATTATCATAGCTACTGGTTCCCTGCAAAATGGAAGAACAAATTCATTTCCCTTTCTAGCAGCATCATTCTTGATATTTCCGTAGAAGGGTAAAGACTCAGTTGACATTATATTGCCAGTTTGCCTCTCTCAGAGACCATTTACTTCTTGGTTTTTCTGAGAGCAAAAACAATTCATAGTCCTCACAATAACTAGCACCATTCTTGGCATCATCTCTAGTAGGGATTAAGTAAGTATTTGTGTGATTAATGAATGTTGAAGAACGACAGTGGATGACTTTTTTCAAGACATTGTGTGAATAGGGTTAAAAACTGAGACAGCCTTGTCCTGCTCTCTGTCTTATTTCAGGCTAAGCATAGGAATGTTTTACACTTAAGGGAGTATGTTAGTGATTTGGCAATTAAAAAAAAAACTTTGAATTAAGTTTTTTGAATACTTTTGCCTGCCTTGTTAAAAACTGGATGCTTTCTACTGTGTAGTAGTAACTTGGGACAGTCTGATCACTTTCAAGTTAGCACTATCTCTGTTCTTTGTCACTAAACTCATGAGGGCCTTTATACAATTGAAATTTCACTTTAAAAATGCTATCAAATGGCATATAGCTTTACAGGTAAAATTGTTGCATGTCGTTGAGGGTTTAACATTTCCTTCCATTATTTTACATTTTTCAGGGACGAATGGAGAGAGGTATTCTCCCTTAGAAAATGATGCGTTACCTTCACAGAGATTACTGTCTGCAAGGGAGCGGAGAAGGAACCAGATTAAAGGCCTGGAATCTGTTGTATGTATGGTATAAGTTTAAAAAAAAAAAGATTTTCTTTTGTTGAAGAGGCCCAAGTCCTTTTCTGTAACTACAAATGTAACCGAGTGAGGGTCTGTGTAGCCTTGCCCTCCAGTGTAGACTTGCTGGACAGCTCTTTGACGTAGCTTGGTGTGTAGTAGCCTTGCTGCAGTGGGCTTGGGAAATGCCCAAGAACTGTGACGGCCATGCCAAGCAGCACTCCATACTTCCAGCTAGCCGATTTGGGCTCCTTGGCATTGATAACACACCATAACAGCGATGTTCCTGGGCCCCAACCAATTGTCCAAAAACTCTCCCCAAACAAAACCAAACACACAAACAGCTGACTTCTCGCATGTGCCGGTGGGAAACATTTGAAAGTGGGTTGAAGGCTGGTAGATTGATAAGAACAGGCTGAGCAGAGTTGAAATTAGTTGCTTTGCTAAAGAGTATTCTTATTTCTGATTTTTATTTCATTTCACATTGCATTCTTGTAATTACTGCACATATTTACTAGAGACCTACACCTGATTCTTATTCTGTAGCCCTTCACCTGGATTTGGATTCAGAGGACCTAGGTTCAAATCCTGGCCCTGTTACTAATTTTATGACTTTGGTCAATCACTGAACCTCTCTGGCTTTTAGTTTCCTCATCTGTAAAATAAGGCTGGGTTAGATGACCCCTCAAATCTCTTCCAGCTCTAAATTTTTGATCCTGTGAACCTCATCAGTTTTTACTGGCATAGGTGTGGGGGAAACAGTATTTGAGACAATTAGTGAGGTTGTATACAGGAGGGAAAGGACTACTTCTGACTGAGTTTTCTTTCAGTCTCAGTCAAATATGTATTAAGCACTGCTATGTGCCAGGCACTGTGCTAAGCCCTGGGGTTTCAAAGAACGGTGTAAGTCCTTGCCCTTGAGTAGCTCACAGTCTAATTTGGAGGGAGCATGCCAACAGACACACAAAGTAAGCTTTATATTTATACAGGATAAATAGGAAATAATTAAAAGAGGGAAAGCATTAGAATCAAGGGGGATTGGGAAGGGTTTCCAGCTGAAGATGGGGTTTTATCATGAGACTTGAAGGAAGCCAGTAGGTGGAGATGAGGAGGAGGAACATTCCCAACATGAGGGACAGCCAGAGAAAATGCCTGGAGCTGAGAGACTTAGTGTCCTATTCATAGAACTGCCAGAGGGCAGGGCCATTAGATCAAAGAGTATGTGTGTTTGGGAGGGTGTGAGGTGTGAGAAAACTGGGAGGAGGGGGTAGGGGGAAGGCAGGTTATGATAGGGCTTTGAACAGCAAACAGAGTATTTTGTATGTGATCCTGAAGGGGACAGGGAGCCTCTGAGTTTATTCAGTGAGGAGGGGTGATGTGGTGAAACCTGTGCTTTAGGAAAATCACCTTGATAACTGAGTGGAGAGAGACGTGGGGTAGGCAGACCAACCAGCAGGCTATTACAGTGGTTTTCAGAGTGAAGAGATGAAGGCCTGCACCAGGGTCAGAAGAGAGAAGGGGCTTATTCAAGAGATGCTGCAAAGGTGAAATTGACAGGCCTTGGCAACACCTTGGATTTGGGGGGTGAGAGGTAGTGAGGCATCCTGGAGGGCACCTTGTTTGTCAGCCTGAGAGACTGGGAGGGTGGTGTTGCTCTTTTCAGTAATAGGGAAGGTAGGAAATGGGGAGGGTTTAGGGGAAAAGATGATAATGAGTTCTGTTTTATATGTGTTGAGTCTCACATGTCTAATTTGAGAATTTCTGCCCCATTCTGATCATGATTCTGGGATTCCATTTTCTCTTTCTCTTACAAAGTCACAGAATTTGGGAGACCTCAGTGGCCATTTTTTCCAACCAACATTGGAAAGGAATCCTCACTATCACAATCAACAAGAGGTCACCTGGCCTCTGTTTGAAGACTTTTTCACTTTCTTGGCTACATTCTTTGGGGGCAGTTTCTCAGTTATATTTACTCCCTAAGCACAGACAAACCAACATGGAAGCACCACAGGAACATTCTATTTGACACACAAGAGTGAACCAGATTGCCTTTTTCTGGGCATTTGCGTGTGTTATCATTTTCTGTGGGTCAACTATCTCTCTCTGCTTTGGAGTTAATCTTTCTTTTCTTCTTTAACTTCTCTATTGTCATTGTGTCATTTTCAGTATTGTCATGACCCTGTTTGGGGTTTTCTTGGCAAAGATACTGGAGTGGTTTGCCATTTCCTTCTCCAGCTTATTTTACAGACAAGGAAACTGAGGCAAACACAGTTAAGTGACTTGCCCAGGGTCACACAGCTAGTAAGTGTTTGAGGCTGGATTTGAACTCAAGTCTTCCTGACTTCAGACTCTGCACTTTATTCACTATGCCAACTAGTTGCCCAACTTCTTTGCTGCTGGATACCATATCTTGGCAGTGACGTGGTCATAACTCTGGATTAGGAAGATATTGTGTTAACTCTTTGAAGGATTAAGTGGAACAGGATGAGACCATCAACAACAAGCAATTATTAAACACCTACTATGTACTAGGCTTTAGGGATGCAGATAGAAAGAATGAAATAATGTTTATTCTTAGAGAGTTTACATTCTATTGAGGAAGACAGTATGTACACATCTAAGTTAATACAGAATATATGCAAATATATAGTAATTAAAATCAAGGTAATTTGGTACAGAATGCTCTAGTTGTGGGGATCAGGAAAGGCTTCATGCAGAAAATAGTCCTTGAGCTCTGTCTCACTTGAGAGGGATACCATGGGGTGAAGGTGAGAAGCGAGTGCATTCAGCGAGGTATAAACACAGGAAATGAAGTGTCACATGGCAAGGAAGAGAGAGAAGGCTGGTTTGGCCAGATGTATCGTAGGTATGGGCAGAGAAATTAGTTATCTAATGAGACTGGAAAGATGGTTTGGGACCAGGTTTTGAAGGGCTTTAAAAACCAAACAGAAGTTTATATTTTAACCTACAGGACCCAATGGAGTTTTAAGCTGCGGTAGTGACATTATCAGATCTACATTTAGAAGACAGATTGCAGGGGGAAGGGACTGAGATAGGGAGGCCAGTTAGGCTGGTGTAATAATCTTGGAGAGAAAAGAGGTGCTGACATCCTGACCATGAGTGTTAATTGTACAAGCAGAGAGAAGAGGTTAAATGAGAGACATGAGGTACAGTAGAAATGGCAAGATATGGCCATTGGGTATATTGTGGCAGGAAACAGGGAATAAGCCATAAAGATTACAAACCTGAAAGTGGGAAAATGGTAGTGTCTCCAACAGAAATAGGCAAGTTTGGAATAAGAGTGAGTTTGGGGGGAATATATGATGATTTAAATTTTGAATGTGTTGAACTTGAGCTGACTCTGAAACATCCATTTAAAAATGTCCATGGTGCAATTGGTGATGTAGAACTGAAGGTCAGGGGAGACTAAGAAATTAGGAAGCTGGGAAGAAGGGGCATGCTTTCAGTGGGAAGATGAGTTCAGTTTTGTACATGCCAAGTTTCAGATGCCAGGGAGACATCCAGTGGTTATGAGCAGCAGGCAATGGGAGATATGGTACCAGAACAAGTTCCCGGGAAAGATTGAGACTGGAGATATATAATTATATACATAGAAAAAATCTACATAGCAATGGGATATCACCAAGGGAGAGTTTATAGAGAAGAGAAAATGGCTGTAGAGTTTGGGGGAACCCACATGTAGAAGATAGGAAGGATAAATTGTATGACCCATAATTGTAACAAACCTAATTTTAAGGTCGTGGAGTGCTCTGTACATAGCTCTGGCATTTCAAAAATCTAGTTCAACAAATATTTAAGTTCTGTCTTCTAACTGCAGGATAATTTTCATCCTACTGTGCAACCTGATGGTTTCTCCTTAAAGTCAGTATCCAGTGTAAATGTTGACCAGCTTAGAATTAGAAATGAAGAACGGATGCGAAGACTAAATGAGCCTCAAAAAAAACCTATCGATACAGGTAAAGAACCATATTTGAAGGACTACTGTGCGTTCTTGGAGAAGTGTCGTGGCTACTTTGAACACATTCCTCGATGATAGAAAGAGGCTATGGAATTTCCAGTACTGTGCCTTGGGACCCATAAGAAGCAGCTGTGGTCTAACGGAACTGAAGTTGTCAGGAGCATATCAGCTTTTCCAGTGAATAGGACCTGTTAGAAATCTTCCTAATAATGGGGGAGAGTGACCCTCCACTGATTCTCCAGTGCCTTATCATGGCAAAGAGATGATACTAGATTTTCAGAGGCTAAGACAGTAAAGCATAAACTTTGACGAGGTCTGAAATTCAGGCCCAGTGGTAATTTTTTTTTTTAATTGAAAACCAACCTAATAAAGTTCAGAAAAGCTCAGTCACCATTGGGTTGGCTGCCAGGTAGTGGATCTTTTTTTTTTTTTAAGCCATGGTAACTCCTGGAAACCATTAATCACAGGTTGCTTTGGGAAGCTCATCCATGCTCTTAGCAACTTTGTGGAGTTATAGTAGAGAGGAAGCTAAGTTTAGTTAAATGTGAATTTTCAAAAATTGAATAAGGAGATGGCCAAAAATTGTTTTTAATCATTAAAACGTTTGCTTGCTATTATTGGCTAAGTTAGGATTTTATAGAAATCATTTTAACCTGTTAATGTTTGCTTTTTGTATTTTAGAAAAAAGAAAAATATGAAAATAGGTTAAGATGATCCTATTAGAATTGTTTCCTTTTGTAGGCTAAATAAATGATTCTAAATCATTATAGTATTACAAGCCCTATTGGCCAAACACATGGCAGTAATTTCTTGGTGAAATCTGGTGATGTGCAAAGTGTTTTAAAAGTACTGCCACTTTCACAAAGCATGACATATACCCAGTTTCATCTAATGTACAATTAGAATATTCTTGAAGTCATCTTCAGCACCAAGAAAGAAAGTATCTGTTTGTTTTAGCTGCTTTGCCAGCCATGTGTTTCTTTTTTCCTTCTCTATTAAGTGAGACAGTGTTGTCACTAAGTTGTACCACATTATTAATGCTTCCAGATAGTAAACTCACATAATGGACAAACTTTTTTGGGTCTGTTACTATATATTCTTATTATTTATCTCAGCATGTCCTTTGATTTATACTTGTACCCATACCTTAATACCTGTTATTAATTTATTGTTCTGGATTCGAATTTAAATTTTATCTGAATGTAACAAGGACTTTCAAATACATTTCTTTGTTATCTTGCTTGAGAATGAATGTATTAATTCCCAATAATCTCTAAGCTAGGGGTTCTTCATGGGGAGGAGGTATGTGAACTTTTAAAATTATTTTGATAACTGATCAGAGGGAGTCCTTGACACAAAAAAGGTTAAAAACCCCTACTCTAAGCAGTAGAATGTTCACTGATTTTTATTGGTTAACTTCCCCATTAATAGGATGAATTTTAAAGTATGCTCTTCTTTAGATGCTAAGATAATTTAGTGATAACCAGTTACTGAGTTTTTTTTCTTTTTTAAATTTAATATTGTCCTTTCAAACAGGAGCTTTTGGGTATGATGTGGATTGATTGCTCATTAAATTGTTTTCACGTGTCCCTTTGCTGTGCCAGTCCTTCACAGACCAGGAGATGTAATTTAAAAAAGAAATGAAATTTCCATCACAGGGTAGGAAGACAGATTTTCATACAATTATATCTAATAATAAATAAGCCATTAAAAATATAGATGTAGATGTATTGTTCAAATAAACTAAAATCCTGTAGGAGAGAGAATTAGAATAGACACTGTTTGATTTCTTATTTTTGGTCAAAGGTAGTTCCTTCCAAACAACATTTCAGTAATTCACCACCTTCTGTGTAAACTGCCCTTCAATTCCCTCCCTGAAAATAATTGATGTTTTCATAGGCCTTAAAATTTACACTTGATATACTAATTTATTCAAGGCTCCCAGAAACCTTGCCAGGTGAGTACTGCAAGTAATTGACCCTTATTTTACAAATGCAAAAACTGAGGCACAGTGAGGTTAATTACTTGCCCATAGTCTCATAACTAGTGTCAGGAGTGTGCTTGAATTCAGACTTCTCCTTACTCCAAGTCCAGCACTGTACTACTCACTAAATTTTCATTCCATATGGAAAATAAAAATAATTGAAATTTTATTTCTGATTGTATTTACCCATGTTATGTTAATGGGGAAAGTTGTTTTCCATTATCTTTACCACTTTTTTTAGAAATTGAAAAAGGGAAGAAATCTGAACATGTAAATAATTGGTTTCGCAGAGATTACCCTTATATGAGGTATTGATAAAGGGAATTGAAATTATTTTTACCCCAAATATTTTTAAGTTAAATGTGCCAAGAACACATGTATACATTAGCACTAACCTAGAAATAGGGATCTCTGTCTATAATAGCCTTTATGATACCCCAGGTTTTCCGTATCAGGAGCTTTTTTTCAGAATGTTGACGGCTGTATTAATATTGGTCTAATTAAGCATAAAGACTCTGAGCTTGCTTGAGGAAGGAACTTCTGAAAGTCAGCATATGCTGATTAAGTAAACAATAATTAATTTCTTGATCTTTGAAAGTACTTTTCCTCTTCCATTGTCACACAGTTCTAAGGCTGTTTTTTCAACAAAATACTTGACTTGCTCAATTCAGTTCCCCTTTTAGAAATGATTTATGTTAGTATGGTTTAAAAATATCTTGACGTGTTTTCTCATAGGCAGAATTGATCCTCTTAAGTAAAATGAGCTTCAAGATGCCTTTGCTATTTCTAAAAATTCTTTTAACCCTACTATGAGTTTTGGGCCTATGATAGAGATCTTGAAAGGGAGCATGTGAGAAGTAGAGTGAAGCATTAGGGATCATCCCGGTTACCTGAATACATGATAAATATCTGAATTACTGAATTGTCAGTTATCAGCATGCCACATGACCACTGTTCTTTGAGAAAAAAAAAGGGTAATTTGGGACATACCAGTTTGCTTTTGATGGCTCTGTCCTTATTCTACTATATCAATAAACAGTGAATTTTTCTCACAAGGGCAGGTCCTTGGTTTTTAATCAGTTGATTTTGTAATTTAACATCTGTTAAATTCTTATGTTCTGCATATACTAAATTAGTTTATGTCTCTATATTATGCAAAGCAGGAAAATGTGAGCCTCCTGTTTCTCTTCTCCTCCAGATGATGAAATTTCTCTGGTTGATCCAGATGACATTCTTAAGCACTTTACACCCCGTGGTGGTGAAAGAAGACCCAGTTCTGTAGAAACTGTAGCCACAGAGCCTTGGCTCCGACCGGGAACATCAGAGACTCTGAAAAGATTCGTGGTTGAGCAGTTGAACCGAGAGCAGCGTTCCTCTGAAAATCCATTACCTTTTAACTGGCAGGGCCTTTCTACAGCACATGGTTAAAAATAAATGTAGACTGGAACCAGTTGTGCCTTTCAAGGTAAAAGGATTAATCTACTGAACTTTTTGTAATCTAGGCCTTATTCCCCACCCCTAAATTCCCCCCCCCCCATGTGGATGGACAATTTTTAACCTGTAAAATACCATACTAAATGTGTACATATATATTTTTTTTCCATATTTTGTTGCTTTCATGTGTTCCATGAAATTGTACAGGATGTATGTTGTTTTTTTTAAAGCCACCATTACTGTTAGTTACATAATGCATAAAGTATGGAATTATTTTTCACACATTTTGCCATAAATTACAGTAGTAATGAAAAGTTCTTGAAACTGACTACCGTATGTGCATTATCTTTATTCTGCCTGTTACTAGGATGAAGTGAATAAAATTTTAAAGTGTCTTAATATATGTAAAACTTGAAGACCCTTTGGTCGTGTGTCTATAAATGCACAACTTTGCCAGTGTCATCAATATTCAGAATCATCTTTTAGCAAATATTCCAGCATGCTGTGGTAGCTTTGAACATTTCCCTTAACAGCTACTATTATTTAAATATGGAAGCAAAGATGCTGTTTAGTTCTACATCATTTTATAGCTGCTGACTCATTTTGTAAGTAAATGATGGGGGCCATAATTGATTTTGATTTTATTCCAATCAATCAGTTGTGTACTAAAATGAGAATTACATCTTTCTTCTGCCTCTGTTGTATTTTTGGTGCCAATGAAGGCATTGTTTTCAGTTAATGTCTAATTTATGGTATGATTTAACTACTTGTTAATGGAAATAAAGTTTTATTTTATTATCAGTGGTGTTCTGTAGAAAATGTAATTTTATAATTAAAAATTATAATCCTTGCAGTAAACTAGCCAATTATTCTAATGAGATCCTAGGATTTTGAGTTGAAAAGAAAGTGGTGTGTAGTTAGTTTTCAAAATTGAAACAACTAGAAACTATCTAGGGTGCTATGAAATTAGGTGTTCAAACTGTTGCTTTAAGTTGATTGTCTATTTCTGTTTCATCAATATGAGACAAATCGAACTTGGATTTGGCGTCCCATTGTATTCCATCCTCTTTGGGTCACGCCCCAGAAAAACCATTTGACAACCAGTTCTTATTGTATCCACAACTATTTTTCTGGTTAAATTTTTGAACGTTGGCAATGAATTGATCGACTGACAACAGCAAACTATAATTTAAAATAGGAGGTGACATAATGCTTCTCTGACTTTGTTAAATATATTATTGAGAATGCCAGTATAAGCCATCCTCATAACCATTCTGTGCTTTCTGAGCAAGGGCCACGATTGATTGGAAGAAAAGACTATATCCTAATCCTTTTGTATCCACCACAAGACACATGCACCATCTAGAAGATAAGGTGGTAGTAAGTAGTACTAGGTCCAGAAGGTCTCTCTAACAGACATTGTCAGTTTAAACAAAGTATCCTCAAAGCAATATCCTATCGTGACAGAAGAGGAAAAGGAATTCTGTCATCTAACGGTTTCGTGTAAGCATAAATTCATCTCCTCTACATCTAAATCCTGGTTTCATGAAAGTCTTCTAAATTAGAATTCTGAAGCTTGCAAAGGACCTTTTATTTGGGATATGTGGCCTTTGGAATCCATTTCAAATAACCAAGTGACTAAATACCTCACCTCGGATTCATGGTAACACTGGAGCACTTCAAAAAAAAAAAGGATATTTAAGTTTTCCTTGGAGGAGGAGGGACAGCACTAGAAAGACCATCCTCTATTGCATTTTATAAAGACATGGCATCAGAGATAAGAAGGTGGAAGTCCTGCAGTTCTTTGTCCAACTTTGTTTTGAACAACTTGAACAAACCCATTTTACACATTTATTTATTTGTTCAACAAATATTTATTGAGCTCCTACAAAGAAATATAATTGAGAATGTCTCTAACACTTGAACCCTGAAGGAAAAGCACCATGTGAGGAGGTGATTGCATTACTGATATATTACCAAGTCTCTGGTAGGCTGTCTGTCAGCCTTACTCTGGGTTCTCAGTTGCTCATACACAAAAGAGGTAAAAACAGTTATGACTATCTTTAGTTTGCTGAGTTTAAGCCTTCAGGAGGCACAATGTGGTGAAGGCAGGAGTATGCGGGAGGATACCCAAAGTATCAATAGAGCAAATAAAATGTGTTTTGAACTGGCACTTAAAATAACTATTTTATAGTTCTTGATATTCAGTTAAAAATCAGAGTCAATGAAACAAGTTTCTGTAGATTACACTGGTTTTGATTGCACTGATGAAAGAATTCAAAAACTTTATTGACCTATAACCTGATTAGAATATGCCAGATGAGAACCAATATTGTACAGAAAGTTGTACAGAATTTTTACATAAAAAACTTTACATATCTGTACCATATACATTTTATCCATCTGAAAAAATTTTCTACATCCACTGTTAATACGGAATGCTTGACAATCTTGTCTTTTTTAAGCCATCAGAGCACAATTCACAGTATGAATACATTTCCAATAAATCTAACCATCCTCACTCAAACCATGCCAGATTTGTTACTTTAATATATTCAACATTAAATTCTGTACATAGAGTGAAATCTACATCAATACCCCCCCCAAAAAAAACAAAAGAAAAAAAATTGTGACAGCAGACACAACCCTAGACTTGTTTTTTCAGTGATTCAAGTTCCAGTCCTTGAAGGATCATATTTTAATGGCTCATGTTTAAAAGCCCTAACACAAGTATGTTACAGGTAGTTATGTCAGTAGTGATATTATTCTACCTCTGTTTTCAATAAGAGTCAGCAATGGTAGCTTCTGGGCTATAATTCCCCTCCCCCCCCCCCCCAAATTTTCACTGCACTGGGAAAAAAAAAAAGATCCCACAAAACAAAAACAAAACAAATATCAACCCAAACTTCTAGTGCATCTGATAAACAAAATATTATGGGTCTTTAGCAAATGAATAAGAAAATAAAGAAATAAAATAAACTAATGCAGGAATAACTATATAATGTTTAAGGTTTTATATTACAGACCTGCATCTCTGTACATTTTTTTTTCACAGAAGGATGATTACCAGTATCTCAGGTAGTCTGAGTGTGCAAAAATCTTCAGAATAAGAATACCATAGTTGCTAAATATCTTTTACCGTGAACAATAATTTTCTCTTTTCCCCCCAATTATAAACATTTTATCCTTCAAAATACAGCTCTCCTGAGTTGTACTTCTTGCAGAAGTTCAAGCCTTTACATATACAGTTAGTTCTTTGGGTAAATTTTACTCTTCATACTTGCCATAAACACTTGTGGCTATCCTGCTGTCTAGAACAAAGGAGGGTATCATAGCACATACTGACACACTGTGCTGAAAACAGGCTCTAAGCTCAACATGAGCCCAACAAGACAATCAGATAATCCATCAGATAACTGAAAAGGATTAGATGGAGTGTTTGTTGCAAGTCTGAGTTACAGTTCTACACGCCTGTACCATCAAACCATAGAAACATGCTGCCATACAAAGAAGGCATTTTCCAAACTGGAAACCTTAGCTCCATGGTCCTTTTAAAGAGCTGAAGGATATAAACTCTAACAGAGTAATATTGTTACCATCATTGCTTGCTTGTTCCAAGCTCTTGTTCAGGTGGTTGTGATATCTGAAAAACTACTCCAATACGAAGAAAAAACCTCCGGAGAACAGCTCGAAGTTCAGGAATCAGGTCAAATTGCATAATTTCACACAAGAGAGGGTAGTAGAATGATGCATGAGCTTTAAACTGGGGGAAAAAGGATTTTAATATTTAGCATTGCTAGGATTCAAATAGACTTATAAATGTATTTGCAAAACTAAAGATTTTAAGGACTGATGAATCTAGGTGAGAGTTGAAGAATTTACTGAATGTACAATGACAACATAGGTTGTTTTTCTTTTTTGGGGTTTTTTGTCCAACAAAATTCCTCTGCCTTTTAGGCAACTCACAAATTATAGTCCTGAGAGAGGTGCCCAGAGCACTGGGTATAAACGACATCAAAGTTAACCCTTGATTTAAATGGAAAATCATTGACTGCCTGCTACTTTCAAACAAACCTATTTCCTTCCCTGATATAGCTTACAAATGATTTTCTGTTTTGGTATAAACTCATGATAAAACTCCATGAAATCTGATTATATATTATATATTGAATAGCAACAAGCCCACAGAATTTCTTCCTCAAATTCACAATATTATCAATTTCCATAATCAAAACCAGAACCAAATACTGGTAAGAACAGCACAAAAGAAACATACTACATCTAATACTTACCCTATTGTCACTTATCTTTAGAACCTTAGTAAGGAACAAAAGCAGTAAATTAGTCCAGGCTTCTCGATGACTTTCTGATGTAAGGGTTAGGAAATAACTTAGTGCTTCACTGCAGACACTACAAAAAGAGAAGGCATAATTTACGTAAAGAATACACCACACACACACACACACACACCCGCAATAGATTGTAAGCGTCATAAATGCTTGTTGTAGAATTGAATATGAAACCAGGGAAAGGAGAAGAGATGGGGGAGAGAGGGAGAGACAGAAGAGAGAAGGAGTAAAGAAAAATCAATGTGGGCCTCATAGCCAGGAAAGCAGTGTCTACCATACAGAATGTACTCAATAAATGCTTATTGAGTAACCGACGAGTTCAAACTTTGCCTCTGACACATAACTGGCTTCATGAGCCTGGACAAGTCATTTATACTTTCAAAGCCCAGGTCAACTCTCCAAGATTATAAATTAGAAGATGCTGATCTGCTCTGGCAGACTTAAGTTCCTGAAAGGGAGCTCCTGACAGCAGTGAAATTGCAGTTTAAAAAAAAACAGGATATTGAAACTGAAGGTAAGGAGAGCAGTTTGTTTTTTGTTTTTTAAATCAATCAATGAATTAATTTTAAACAAGGAGAGCAGTTTAGCTGAACAATTTATAGTCAATTTCCATGGAATCCTAAAGATCTGACAATCAACAAGCATTTATTAAACATCTACCATATGCCAAGTATTGTGCTAGGCACTAGGTAGAAGTATTGATAAAATCAATGCAGTCATTTTTTGGGCAAGGGAGGGCCCCCGAAGGTGAGGAGATTGCTCATCTCAGGTTTCATGGAGAAGTGGCCTTTGGAGTTGACCTTTGAAAGATCTACCAGGTAGCAGTGAGGAGATGGGCATTCCAACTGTGAGCAATGAGGGACCCCCAATGCAAAGGGAGGGGACCAGTGTGACACGGGAGAAACAGCAAGGTGACCACTTTGGCTGGACACAGGAATCCTATGTCAGGAGTCTGGAAAGGTAGGTTGGCACCAGGTTTGGAAGAGCTTTAATGCTGCACAAGAGAATCTGTATTTAATTCTAGAGGTAATAAAACATGGAGTCAGTGGAGTTTACTCAGCAAGGGAGTAACATGCTTGTTTTCTGACTAGATACTTGTGTCCATACCATTTATTTTTATTTGCATGCGTATATGGTTTTAATTATGTTGAATTATTTTTTGTTTTGCATTATACCCCTCTATCTAGTCAAGATCTCCTCTGTCTCCAAAATCCTGAGTCCAGATAGGCCGAAATAGGCCCATATTACCCAGGATTACAGATAGTGGACTTCCAGTACCCCTTTTAATGAACCGTGAGCAGGAATAAGAGAAATGAGCATTATAATCCTATTCCTCACCCCATTTAACCAAGGAAAAGTGAGGGCAAGTCCCTACCACATCAGAGACGGGACCTTTC